AAAAAAAAAAAAAAAAAGGAGAAGAGAGATTTATTGCCTCTGTGTCTGAGAAGTCCATGAGTAGGTCTGCCTTAGACAGGGCTTAATTCAAATCTCAATCTGTGTCATCAGGCTCTGTCTCTTGACTATTTTGTCTGGATGGACACTATCTTTAGTTTCAGCCCACTTTATTGCAACATTCAGTCCAGAGGAAGATGGATTTTTTTTTTAATCACAGAATTGTGTCTCAATGGCTCTGTTTGCCCTGACTTTTCTAGGAGTGAGGGTTGGGGGTGGAATACACTGACTAGCTTAATCCACATCGTGTTTCCCATCTTTGGAATCCAGGGGTGTTGTCAACTTCCCTAGAAGTACATAGGCTTACGGTGGAGGAAGACAGTTCCCCCAAGCAAATTGCCATAAGAAGGAAAAGGATCCTGGTTGGCAAAACCGTAATTGTCACCATAGCGACTAGTCTGACATGGTTTGATAACTGCAAAAACCTGGATAGATGAGGGCAAATTCATCATCATTGCTGGAAGATTCAAAATTCAAAGTGTGTACTTTACTGGTGGCAAATTAATCATATCGATTTCGTAAACAAGTGCATAGCACACAGCCATTGGAGATTATTTATGGATTATTATCACAACCTCAGCAAGTATCACAAACAGGAATAAAACCTCCATTCTTATTTATTCATATTCCCCCTTAGGAAAAGGCCATTTCGTGGCAGACTCACATATCCAAACCATAGAGAAAGAGAAGCAATGATTTTATCATCTTATGCTGGAATCTTAATGGTAAGGAAAAAAATAGTATTTGCATACATAGAGATTTTATATTTACTATGCACAATGTAATATTAATGCATATTAATTTTCTTTTTCAACCACTCTTTATAAATCTTTAGGATTATTAATATTAAATGTTTCATTTTTTAAGATATAATAAAAAGATTTTGGCTTCTATATTGTAATATGGAAATATTTATTTAAGGGGCATAAAAACCAGAATGAAACATTTTAATAATTGAAATCTGGATATTCTAATTTATCCATTTATTCAGAAGTTATTTATTTAGTGGTCATGCCACCCAGGTACAGTGCAAGACATACTGGAGCTGTAACAGTTTTATTTTGTAATAAAAGAAAAACCATGATATGATAACACATTTTTGTTGTTGTCGTTGTTTAACAGAACAGCATCCCAATTGAGGAAGTCTTTAAAATTTATGGGGCTGATTCTTCTGCCAATTCTTGTACTACCAAGGTAGGGGTGACCTGAGACTATCAATATATATATTAGGAACTTCTAGAGAGAATTTCTTTATTTGATACATTTGTAATGTCTTTTCAGGCACGAAATAACAATTTTAAATCAAAAAGTACAAAACCAGATGTAGTCTTCTCTTACTTGGGTAATAAATGCATATACAATGCTTTCCTCAGGTAGAGGACTTATTTATAATAACAAAAGTATTTTTTGTGAGGCTGAGTAGAGGCTGCAAATAGAGCACCAGGCTTGGGGTCTAGACTCTGCCTCTGTTTCTGATGAACAGAATTTCTCACTTACACTTTTTGTAATGAAGACCTGGGAAGTCCAAGTGTACCTCTTGTCCAATGTACCATAACATCTAGGACAGGGACAAGATCTGCGAGTTTCATTCTCATGGTAAATGATGTACTTTACTGTTGCCACATTTCTGCTTCCCGTGACTCCTTTGAAATTGCTGCAGTAGAAGCAGTAATGATGGGGGAGTTCAGACACCTGGGTCTGCGTTCCGACTCTAACACTGTGGAGCCCTAGGTTCCTTCCCTCTTTGGGCTTCCATATACTAACCTTTTTTTAAAAATGGAGTATTCCGAATGATCTTTATGGCCACTTTAGTTTTCCCTATTTATGAATGTATGAATATTTAGTAAACATTTAAGTATGGGCTTCTGTTTGGAGGTGAACTACTGATTTGCTTACCTTTAGATACCTCTAGGAGAGGGAACAGGAAAGGGAAAATGGGTCTGGAACAGGAGGGAGTCAGGGAAGGAAGAAGGCAGGATGCGCCCTTCACACCCAGGCCTTCTGCTGACCCAGGCCTTCTGTTGCTTTCGGTGCCCTCACTGGATTTGGAAGGGAGGCCAGGGCAGGTACAGGGCTAAGGCTATCGGAACACCTGCCTCCCTTGTTCTTTTACCTGTAGACCATTCTGCAAACAGTGAGATTGTGTAAAGTCAAGAGCCCTCCAAGTTCAGCTTAAGAGTCAAGTGTTTATTAAGTGTTGTAACTTTGAAACAAACTGTCCTTGCATCTGAATTCACATGTAACTTGGCTATAGTCCTGAGACTCAAGTTCTCCTGATTACTCTAATTTCAACTTCATTCATTCATTCATTCATTCATTCA